CCGTGGAAATATCAAATCACACTGCACAATTTTCGTTTATAACATAAAGGACTTGACTGCCAGGACCTCATCACGTCTTTTCGAGATTTCGCTTGATTTTGTTCTTTCACCAAAATCGCTGTTGCTTCCGATTGAAGCTTTTGCTGCGCGTAATGCTCAGCAAATCTCTTACGGTCAAATGTCAGGAAATGCCGGGAAATCGAATTTCATCCGTGGGATGGGATTTAAGAAAAGATGAATGAGGCAAAAGATGCAGAATTAATCTATGCGGTACACATTTCTTTACTTATAGACTTATATAATTTTCAATTATTTGCACATGTTATATTCGTTTATTTTCGGTGACGGTTTATAAATTTCCTTTCAAATAACTTATCTCTCTTGAGGTAATAGATACATAAAGCCGCTTTAATAGCGCCACCTCGCGCTCTGCGACGCCCAATCGCCATTGCCCCCCATCCTCCCAGAGGTAATTTTTTGCAAAATAAAATCTATTTTATATGAGCGTAATTAGGCCTTTTTTTATTTTATTTTATTTTTGATTGCTTAACTTTAGGATACTGTTGAGCGGATGTTTACCGTTACAACTTTTCTACGTAGGACTATCAGCTTTCCTAGCTAAGCCCCCCCCCCCCATGATAATAAAAGTGTATAGCAGTGGGTACAGCCATGTACAAAAATGGCCAAAAAGAACTGTGACCGTGAAATAATTCACAATTAATTGTATTTAGCAAATGGGTGGTTTTTATACAAGGATTAACAATAAAAAAGTGGTTAGAAATGAAAACAAAATAATATGAACTATGCAAAACGATAAACCGGGTATCGGAACTCGGCTGTTTTCAAAACGCCTTCAAATGCGGCGTGATACCTCACGCATTCCGGAGAGATCAAATAGTTGTATCATTGCGCCGTAAGAGTGTGACAGAAGATTACAATTGAAATAGCCTTCATGCACGCTGGCCTTTTCGATTTCCTGTGACATTTTTGCAGTCATTAATGCGTAGCTGAATTGCGCTCTAGCTAGAATATTGGTATTTATTTTCGGTGTAGTGAAGCATCGGAGAAAATGAGCAATAATGAAAAAGAAAGAATTTTCTGCCCGTATACAATTTCATTTTACGTTAAAACCCCAAGTAAACGTAATGTCTTGAAAACAATCGGACTGCATTTTGCAAAAAGGAACCAGGAGCATTGCAATAATCCTAAGATTCTGCGGCTTCTTTTGTCTTGGAAAATAACCTGATTATCCATAAGCAGTTTCTATTATACTTGCTAAAAACTGTAAATTTAGGAAAAAAATTTCCTTTAAAATTCCATATTGTTCCAGGATTTCAATAGTTATATTGCAATAGATGAAGTTGCACAATCTTAGCAACATTGCAATGCCCTGGTTCCTTTTTGCAACATGCAATCCAATTGATCTTTCCATCGTTATTGCAATTTCCCCAGTGATTATTCCAATCATAGACCACTGATGATACCCTTGTTCCTTGATCGCACATCGGTATTTATACTTATTAGAGGAAAACGTTTGTAAATTCATCATTAAAGGCTAACATTCTAGAACATAAACATACAATTTATAATTTTCGATTCGTAACCTCCATCCAATTCAATCTAATGCTTGGTAAAAGCCCTTTCTCTAATGCTCAGCAATGTTTCTCGCGATTATATTGCTTTAAATTCAAACCAATAATTCCAGCTGATAATTGTACATCATGAAATCGCTGCGCCCATTAAGAATTTTCAAAGCCTCTCTTGCAGACTCGGAAACGATGTACTCGGGAACTTCGAGAAATATCCCTCCGGAATCGCGAGGGATGATTAGCCATGAAACGTGATGAAGTGCGGGCCTCACTCGCTCCTCGTTTTGTATTCATACGAAATGTTTGCTCACAATTGAAAGTGTGAAAAGGGCGGAATTGAAGGGGCGGCCTTTTTAATTTCGCGATTCTGAGGCGGCTCACGTATCATATTAATATCGAAAATGATGAATGTAAGAGCGGAAAAGGCAGAAATGGGGCGAGCGACTCAACCGGAGGATGCCGTTAATTATTGGTCTACGGTGAGATCCGAGTCGCTGCCGCTCCTCGGAAAAATTGCGTTGTTTTTAATGAGTAAACATGCGGAGTTTTAGAATATTTGGCAACAATGGGTGAGATCGAGGGCGGTAAGGAACGGCGCGAATGGTAGTCGTCGACGACCGGAAAGAAATCAAACGCCACACAGTGAGCGACGAGAAGATTTTCGAGGCGAAAAATTTAGTTTATTTGGATTTGTTCGCTTTGATTTTGAGCAACAATTTCAACTCTCGGGAAACGGAATTGCATACCTAACAAATTGAAGGAGATTTGGACCGCGTAAAACAGAAAGGAACCAAGCCATATCAGCTATTGTCAAATTTAATTAGGAAATTTAATTTTTTCCATGAAACCGGTTGTGCGGATTTTAGTGCAAATTTCAGTGAATTTTGCCCATTGTTTTGGCAAATTCCTTAAAATTTTCAAAGGAATCCGCACAAACGTTCTTTTGTAAAAATTATATTGCCGAGTTAAATTTGACAATAGCTGATGTGGCTTGGTTCCTTTCTGTTAAACTCGGTCCATTTATGTGGATCTGCTAATGTGCTGCAATTGATAAATCATGAAGGCGACCCGCAGAGTGAGTTGAGATTCTGCGTCACATGATTTTCAAAACATCTACTTTATAAAATGGCGTGAACTAAACTGTCGTGCTATGTAAGAACGTCGTATGAGCCATCAAGAGTTGTCAAATCTCCTTCGACAAATCGCAAATTTCCAGGAAATTTTGTGAATAACTCTTCTCCGATTTTTCAAAGGATTTGTTTCGTGATTCGATCTAAAAAGTCTGACAGTTTCAAAGAGAAACATTTATAACTTTCTTCAACAATGAATGGTTTAAAGAAGGAATTTGGCAACATTCTAATGCTTATACAGCGTTTTTACTTACCACAGCAATACACCTCTGCCGTGCTGATACGAAGAAGGTTCCGTAAAGATTCAGTCATTGCCACACATTCCTCAATAAAATGTTTATATTTAAGGACAGCTACGCATATTTTTCTTTGAAATTTATGTGTACTTCAGATCAAACTGCGGATGAAATCCTTCACAAATATCAAAGACAAATATATGCAGGTTTGACAGGGAACATGTATTTCATCAAAATAAATTCAGTAAAGTACAAAAGCTCTTAAGGCGTTCTTTTTTAGCATTCCATGTTTTCGAAAATTTGTTTTAAAAATAAACTTTAACCTAGAGACTTAGTTAACTAGGCTAGGTGCCTTCATAATGCAACAGCACGTTAAAGCACAAGTCAGCGGATTCACAAAAATTTCCTTCCATTCGTTGGTTATGCAATTTGATTTCCGAAAAGTTAAAATAGTTGCTTGCTATCAAAATGAACAGAACAACAAAAAAACAAATAAATCTTTAGTGTAAGTAATCGTAGAGTTGCTCCAAACAGCGTATATCTCTGTGAGGGAAAATTGTGCTTGTGTGTGAGCTTTTTCCCTCTGTAATGAGATAACAGCATTGAGCTGAAATTTTTACGCACGTTGGCTAAAAAACTTCAACATCCCGAAAAAAATCGTTGATTATTGGCCTAGCTCCAAAGATTGATTGAAATTTGTCCAGTATAATTAGGGGGCAAGATTTTAGTTGTATAATTTTCCTCTAGTTTCACATGCAAAAAAAGATTATAAGATTGGATAGTATTTCTAGAAAACCCTAAAATGTTCAAAATTTACGACTCGTTGAACCCGAAATTACCTCAAACTGACTATTTTCCCAGAATACTATATGGTGAGTTTCTCTGAAATATGGTCCATTTGTCCACTGAGCGGCGAGCGAAAGGGCGAGTTGCGCGGCGGGAGGAACGCTCATTAGGGTCCCACAAACGGCTGGCGTTTGCTGATTGCCGATACGGACGGCGCATCTGAATTTATAGCTTCCTCCGAGGCACCGCCAAGAACACAATCGCTGATTAATTAGAGCCCGCCTTCGGACCAAACGCAACACAGTTGAAATTCTCCTCGTGTGGCTGCACTCGCCCCACCTCGCATTTAGCTTTTTCTTACTTTTTTGTAAATATTGAGCTCCACCTATCAATTACGCTACAATTAGAGACTTTACCCTCCTTCGTTTTTTGCCGCGTGATTTGCCGTGGCAAGCTATAGGTGCACCGACTGTTGAATACATGAGCATGCAAGTTAATATTTATTTGTACGTGTATGTATTGAAAGAAGGTCATAATATGATTGCTTCACGATGAAATATGGAGAGAGAAAATTACGAGAAGTAATCAGTCCATAAAACACACGAGTAGAACCAAGAAGGTAATCAGTCCATAAAACACACGAGTAGAAACCAAGAAGGTGGAGTGCCTCTAGACTTTTTTTAAAGATAATATTGGGGCAGCGATATCAGGTCCAAGCAGTTGGTCTGGGATGGATATGTACGAAGGATGGCAGACGATCGGTTGCCCAAGCAGGTTTTCGATTGGGTTCCTCCCGGAAGACGACGGCGTGGACGTCCTGTGAAAGGTTGGCGACAAGGGGTGGAGGAGCAGATCAGAAGGTGCCAATTGCCTGACGGTCTCTGGGAGGATAGGGGGCAATGGCGATTGGGCGTCGCAGAGAGCGAGGTTGCGCTTTAAGATTTGCTTCGTACCATGGAGAATTTTCACTGAAATTTGTACAAAGATCCGCACAACCGTTTTCATGTAAAAAATGAAATTGCCCGATTAAATTTGGCAATAGCTGATGTGGCTTGGTTCCTCTCTGTTTAACGCGGTCCAATCCGCCCTCGCGCAGTAAGGTTCTTCTTCATACGCTTGGTCACATGTGTATTATATTGCAACTTTTCATACTTACCTGGTGGAGGAACTAACTTGGGTCCTTTTTTTTCCGTTTGTTTCTTGCCTTCCTGTCTGGTTGTGGTGATGGTGAACTCGACGATACATCTATCTGACGGCAGCTCTGTTGTCAGGCACGCTGCGGACCTACCAGAAAGCGGGTTGCAACAACCAGCCGGTCATCCTCACGTGCCCGCCTGGCACCTGCATCTTCGTTCAAGTGGCCCAGTACGGCAAGAATCCGGCTGTCTGCGGCGACTACTCCCAGTTCAACGCCTTCGACCACTCAGTACAAACCAACGTGGATTCACCGACCAGCGAGCCCTGCCTCTGGTCCAGCGCTCTCCAGGTCAGTCGCCACAAAGCTAAATTCATTCATACAATGGGTCAGTCAGGGTGCATGTCTGCAAGTCCGGAAATGTACTGATTTTTTAAGGGCGGTCCGGAAGTAATGAAAAAGTGCGGCAATTCCACAAGTAGGTCCGGAATTTTTTCATTTTTGTCGCAATTTGAGCGGGAAATTCTAATTCGTCGAATTTCGCCAATTGGAGGTGCTGAAAAAGTACTGAATTTGTCTATTATGGAAGTACTGAATATCTTGGGAATGCACTGAAAAAGTACCGTAAAAGTACTGATTTTTGGCCAGCCTGTTATAGTAGACACTCTGGCTCAGTTAAGCTGGTCCCATAATTGTGTTTTGATGCTTGATTTTTGTAGAGTAGCTAAAAATGAGAAGATCTGTCCAAACAACAACTTTTTACGTTGAATATTAACCGAGATATCGTCCTTTGAAAAGTCGGGTTTTTGACGTCATCCGCCTCGGTAGTACATAACATGGTATATGTGCTACCGCGGTGGATGACGTCATAAATCGAGTTTTTCAAGGCGCGATATCTCGGTTAATATTCAACGTAGAAAGTTGCGGTTATCCATGTTACATTAGCAATAAACTAAAGATGCACAAGTTCGTTTAATGCTCATGATCGAACATTTACAAGTTACAAGATTCCATATGTATTTTAAAATGGACCTTCAATCTGCTCTAATTTCCAACGAAAAATCTAGACAATTTTAGGCTTGATTCTACTGCGGGCCGGTTATTGAAATTGATAGATAAAACTATAGAAAATTAATACAAGAGGGATATAACGGGATCCTATTGGTGGAAGCGGGTGATTGCAATGAATAAAGGAAATAGGAAATAGGTAATAGACTAACCAACGGAAACCCACGAGAAACCCTATATATTGCCCATCATTTCCTCCCTTAGTCTACAGGAACCACCCATTTTAACAGATAGCATTGCTCTATACTCCTAAGTCTTTCTTTGTCTATAGCTCTGTCTATCAATTTCAACAATCAGCCCGGAACTCTACTATTTTTTATCTTCTACATATATTATCTTCAAATCCTCGCAAGCGGTGACACAGGATTGCGCGAATGCCCTGAGAATTCTCCTTAAAATCAAGGATTGAGCATCCGATTGTCGAACAAATACAAAGATACACAGGCAGCTCAGAACGGAAATAGTAAAAGCAAAACAAGGGAACAGTGGAAACAAGGCTAAAATACATAAAAATACACGGCATTATATTTTTGTGCATTATATTATCAGTGTGTTTTTATGTATTTTAGCCTTCTTTCAACTGTTCCCTTGTTTTGCTTTTACTACATCCGATTGTCTATAGCTTTGTCTATCATTCAATAATCAGCCCGCGGATGCAATAAAGCTTTTCGGACGTTCTTCAAAAGCACAGACTAAGACATCATAACCAGCTTAAGACTCCGTCCTCCCTTTTTTCCTCTACCGAATTCCACTCAAGTTCTCGAGATGATGGAACTTCCTCTACTTTCGAAACTATCAAGTGGTTGCAGCTGGAAATAAGTAGGTTGCCGCGCGCCAAAAAGAGCGAGTCGATTGCGATATATCGATTGATCGTCCATTTAAACCTATGGGAAAGTATCGATAAGCAGGGTGTTCACAGCGAATACCTTAATAATCGATTATTTACCATAGCTTCAAATGGGGAAATATCGATAGATCGCAAAGCACGCCACGCCACTGGCTTTCCTTTCAGCCAAGTTTCTCGCTCGTGTCTGCACTCGATAAACAGACCTATTACTGTGTCTTGGGTCTCTCTCTCTACTCATTCCGCCCCATTCCCTTTCCTTTGACGCACCTAATGCTATAAAAAAAATACGACAGTAGAGTCTCTATCTGTCACAGGGGTTGTCGTCAGAATTATGTCCGAAAAGCAGTTTTGGGTTTCACACGAAAAAGAGTAAAAAACACAAAACAATTGCTAAGGAAGAGTACTTCCCACCCTGGTAAAAATTGGCGATAGGAGCTGCGTTTCAAAATACCATAGGAGGTCTTATAGCCGACTAAAGAGGGCTATTGAAAATCATATAGCTGGCTGTAGAAAGCGGAGCAAATCATATAGCCAGGCTATACGAAGCTATAAAAAAGTATACAGTCGGGCTATAGTTCCTATCGCTGGGCGTTACACTTTATCGCCATTGGCTATAAAAGGCTATAAGAAATTGTGTAGAAATTCGCGTGCTTTGGAAATCATTAAGTTTGATACGGAACCACCTTAATATTTACATAACACTCGTTATATTATCCTTTAATACATATTTTTTTTCATCAATTAAAATGAGAATAATCCATACAGGGTGTACAAAAATTTCAAAATCGTGTGTTGAATAACGCTGACTCCGCGAGATCAAATATTAGAGCCTAACACAAAGCGGAGCGGCGACGCACTGGCGCCTACAAACCTAACTGGGATACTTCACGCATTGCGCAATGCGTGAAGTATCCCTGTTAGGTTTGTAGGCGCCAATGCGCGTTTTGCGCTCTCTACCCGCCCGCCGCGACGCAGCGTGCCACGGCGTCTGAAGCAACTATTTCTCACCAGAGTTATTGCACAGTATCATAAGTAATTGAAGGCGCTCCAACATATTAAGAATGACAGACATCCCTCAAAAGTACGGAGCTTTCTTCGCAAAATAAATCAAGATACTACGGCACAAAAAGAGTGCGGTAGTCCAAAAACTAACTAAGTCCTAGTATCCGTATTTAGTGAAGTTTAGCATAAACTTTATCGTCTGGCTGTTGCTTAATCGCCATCGTCTATAAAAGGCTATAAGAAATTGTACAGCCGGCTACAGAAGCTATTAGAAATCTTACAGCTGGTTTTAGGTCTATAGTATTTTGGAACACACATTCTACTGCCAATTTTTACCAGGGCATTTCAACTAGATCGGAAGGGTTGCAAACTAATGGAGAAAAACGTTCTGCTGCAATCAAGAACTGCAGAACTCAGCTGTTTGATCAATTTCGGTCAACATTCGCATCCATCCACTTTTCAACCCACCTCGGGAGGTGGGTCGAGAATTTTGGATGTGATCATGATTTCTGCTAGCATGAGAACCAAATATAATGTAAGCGCACTATCGCAAAGTGGATCGAGTCAATTGGAGAGGTCGGACAAAATTTGGAAACTTTAAACGCTTATAACTCTGTTTATACAAAACTTTGACGTTATAAAAGTGGTTTCATTTGTTTCCTCGTGGAATTTTCTACTTACAGCACCCTTTGAAATGTAAAATGTGACGAAACAAACACCAAAATTTGCAGTTTTAGCCAAAAATTTCATGCCCGACCTCTCTCATTGACTCGATCCACTGTGCGGCGCCCGGAGGGAATTTCGTTCTGTTGTTACGAAGGTTGGCAGTCCTGACCAATCCACTCGCACAAATTTGCCTATGCAAAAATCTCCATTGATTATTTTCGATGCATTTGAATTAAGGAAAAACAGTGTTGCCAATTTACGAGAAGCATCACTGTTGCGAATGCGACACTACCGGTTCATTACGGTTATGAATATGTCCTGTAGTGAGAGACCCGTTAAGTCGGCTATCGGTCGCGGAGTTGGACTCAAGCCACTGAGATGTCTCCACCGGGGCAACAAAAGCTACAACAAAAGCTAAGCGGTTCCGAAGCGACGCGACGTTGTGATTGGTGCGAAGACGACTGAAAATATAAAATCTGCGGGAAGGGGGGTGAAGGTAATGGAAACAGCACCAGCACCGTGGAATAGGGCCAGATCCGGGGAGGGGGTGGCGTTGGGGGTGCGAAATGAGGCGGGAACGAAGGCGACGCGACGTGCAGTTTTCGAGAAACGGAAAAAGCATCAACGGAGCCTGATCGATGCTCAACGGTGCAACACCGACCACCAACCTGACCGCGGCCCGAGTTTGTTGCCAAATGCATCGCGGAAGTAGACAAAACTATGACTTTTGGTTTTGAAGTTAGTTACGCAAATTATTGTGGCTGTATAACAGTTAATTGGGCTACATTTTGCAATTAGGAACTACAATTTCTGGCTCAGATTAGAAACAACGCATGCACCGCTAGTTTACATATGCACTCAAAAAGTTTTTTACGGATGAAAGAGAAATTGTACCTATAGTTCATATTTGCAAAATTCAGTCCAATTGTCCAAAACTGTTGTTCCACAAAACTTGCTACACGGTGAAATGATACGAAAGAAAATCATTATTGTGATGTCTGGGGTAGGAATTTTTACAGGGTCGGGTTATGCCGCATTTATTTTATACTTATTTAAAATTTCGTAAAAAAAAAAGAAAAAACGAAGAAAAACCCATAAAAAGTTCTAAAAAGCACTATAAAGGGAGGGAGAATCTATTCCAAATCCAACCAATCCAAATTCGACAGCCGAGTTGACGTAGCAAGGCAAATCCCCAAGCTGAGTTCAGCCAATCAGCAACCGCCATTTCCCGCCTGGCTACGTCTTCAGAGCCCGCCAAAAATATCGTTCATACTGGTCCCATTTTTGGGATTTGCAAAATGGGGTTTCTTTGCCATTGAGGGTTTTAAAGAATCAAAAAATTCCTAGAGGTTTAATTCACTTTATACTTTCAAAAAATTAATTTAAAAAATGGGTGCCACTGACCCATTTCATTCAGTTGGACCGGTCACAGTTCATCGATCAAAACTTCCGCCGCCCCCTCTGAAATTCATGACGACATGATGCGGGAAAAATCCGTTATTGTAATGCTGAATTTGATAACAGGATTCTCAAGTATCATAGGTATATGCTGATTTTAAAGATGTCCTGCTCCAAGGGTGCACAGAAAGTCGTGATAAATCCCATAGGAGTTTGCCCAGAGATCCACACAATGTTCTGTTCCTAGACGAAAAAACTTAAGTCCATTACGAGATTGCATAAATTGAGATTTCCAAAAATTACAAATCACATTCCGTGAAGCGGATTTACCCTGTGGCTCTCGACTAAAATATCTCCAATCAGTGGAATTTTTCTATTGATCTTTTTGCTCGCAGCTATAAACATAGTTTATACGCATTGAATAAACTAATCTCCGGATGTCCATCAAGATTCTCGCTGATTAGTTCGTGGAAACCCCTCGGAAGACACAACCAAGAACGTACTTTATTTTCTTTGCTTTAATACACTGATAAGACAATCTCGTTATGAATGGATTTCATTCCGGAAAGAGCACTCATTCCATATCCGGCCCTCTGAATATCTTCTCTCCGTCGCTCTTTTTTCGTTGTTCTCTCCCTCGTCGCGGGGGAAACGGATAAAAACAATGTCTCCAGTGAAGTTCAGCAATGTGCGGAATCGTAGGAGATTCCAATAAGCATTTCTGCCACTTGGAATCCGAGCCATTAGAATGGAACACCCAGTTAAAACCCTCCCGATTTATCCGTCCGTTCCTCATTTTCCGCGATATTTTATGATATTATCGCAAATCGAATCCTGCAATCCCAACTTCCGTCTGCAATTTTTTGATAGCTGTGGATTCGCAGTCACCATGCGCCCGGCGCGATGCTGAAAGAGAGAAAAGGTTTAAAAAAGGGGGGAGCGCCGAGGGGTTTTTTTTTCGCATGGAAACAGCTTTTTGGCATGATCCCAAGCCTCCAGCAACTTGGAAATTACGTTCTGTTGTTTACCGAGGGCCGGGCATGAGCCGAGAAGCGGCACTCGCCGAGATAAAATTATCTCACGCGGGAACTCCTCACAACGGGCGGGACAGCGCAAGTGGAAAATAATCGCTGGTCACCAAGGAAGCGGGGGAAGCTCCTTGAATCCATGCGTGACTCCATCCAAGTTGATTTTCCGAACGAATAAAACCTTTGGCTTTGATCCGGGCGGGGTCAACGTTTACTCAAAGGGACTCACCTATACGGAAGAGTCGTCTGATGTCCGAGTCAAACGTCCGATGACCTTTGCGAACAGCGGGAGCGTGAAACGGGACCCCCGGTCGGGTTGACCCAATGTCAAAGGCGTGTTAAATGAGCGGCAGAAAAGAAGAGGGAAATTATGAAACCATACGTGCATGTTTTAACCCGCTCACGTTAGATCGCTTAACCCGAGGAACTTGCGCACTATTTCCGAACCTCGCCAACCCGTAATCTCGGTGGACTCACCGTTGGCCATTTTTATTACACGCACACGAAAAGAACCAAGCCAGATCAGCTATTAACAAATTTAACTAGCGAATCTAGGTTTTCTACACGGAGAAAAATGATTGATGAGGATGACAATGTCAAACATGGTTGTACGGCTTATGATGCGTGTAAATAAAAAAGCTGTTATCGCAGTAAGGCTGCAATATGAGAGACACACAGCCAAAAGTCATTATTACAATGTCCAATTTGTTGACAAAAAGAACGTTGCATCAACAGGAGAAATGCCGATCGTCACAATGTGGCATTGTTATTCTCACGCACAGTTTGAATGTCCCGCGCTATCTTCATTTCAACAATGCCAGCTCTGTTGCCGCGCACGATGCTTTTGATCGAATTCACTTTTTAAGGAGTGTGATTGCAATGATGTAAGATATTCATATTGCAGCAAAGTGATGTTTGTTTCTCTGACATAACAACACTGAATTTCCTACATGCGATGTGATCATTTCTATATTACCTCTTGTTAACTGAACATCATGACAGTCAAATTTAAGAGTTTAATGAAATTCACATTAAAGAGTGGAATTCACACAGCGTATACAATTTTTTATAAGTACTGCAGTCAGTATGGCAAGTTATTTAAGGTTTGCCTCTTATAAAATTGTCAGCTTTCATAGGGCGGGGTAGAAAGAGGGAGAGAGAGATAAGCTAAAAAGAAAACCCAAGGGTTGGATTTTTTGTCTCGCAGAAATTTTGCTCTGCTATCAGTGTAAGCACTCATTTTGTCATAGGGGATGAAATGTTTTCTTAGAAGTTGAGTGAAGGTAGGAATTTAAGTCCCATTTTGTCAATTGCCATGGTTGGGCTTGCAAATGTGTCATAGACCTAATAAAAGAATGGAAAATTATTTAGTAAGGTTAAAAAATTCAAAAAATAAAACAAAACAAAAATAAACTGAAAGATAAGCTGATGACAAAATAAAAAAATAAATATAACAGCAAAATAAAATAATAAATTAAACTTTTAAAAAAATAAATAAAAGAATGAAAAAGACAAAAAATAAAAAAAAACAAGAGAATTACAATTAAACAATCGGAATAAATAAAATAAGGAAATAAAAAAAAATAAAATAATATAGTTAATTTTAAAATTAAATAATAATAGAATAGAAACATTAAAACCACAAATAGAAATAAATATGTACGATAGTAAAATGCTGTCGGTGAAAACTGTCCAAAAATTGCGTTCAACTTAACGATCCGTTCAAACAGACGCTATACACAGGTTTTTCATCCCACCGAAACAGGTTCCTTCGTTGCTCAGTCGGTAAAGGGTTAGGCTAGTATTAGGTAGGTCGCAGGTTCGATCCCCGGTTGAGGCAGGAAAATTTCTATCAACAAAATGCCGAAGGAAAGCATCCGCACGTTTCGTATATTTAATTTTTTACGATTTTGGTAGTTGTTCTCGCGAGTAATCATTTTAAAGGGCTCTTTTGCATGTTCCGCCACTCATACTCCCGGGATACAGCCACAGAGAGCGAAAAACACAAAAATGCCGCATTGTGGGCCACGCAGCAAGCGCACCGCTGTGGTGAAGCGCACGCTTCACCACAGCGGGGCCATGCATTCAACAATGCTACAAAGTTACCTCCACAACTTAACACGCACCTTCGAAATTACAATGCTGACATTGTGCGGTACGACGTGGGCAATGTTGGGCCTGTGGGTGACAATGTAACATTGTTGAACGGAGCGGAATCACTGTCGTCAGCATCATTCATTTCTCTCCGTGTACACGAAAACGGTTGTGCGGATATCAGTGAAATATATCTACACAGCAAGAGGCAAGTTCTTTAAAATTTTCAAAAAATCCGTACAAACTTTCTCTTGTGAAGTATTAAATTGCCCTGTTAAATTTGGCAACAGCTGATGTGGCTTGGTTCTTCACTGCATAGCGTGGTTTGTTTGTAAATGTTGTGTAATGTTTGTTTCCTCTGAAAAAACATGAAAGTTTTCTAATTTTCTGAATGTTTCAATTGACTGATTTTATTTTTCTTATTTTCACATCAGCTTTTGCCAAATTGAACTAGGCAAATTAATTTTTAACATGAAAACTCACGGCAGTTTTAAAGAGTTGCCGTTGAGTTATGTTTTTTGTTTAAAAAAATGAAATATGATGGGAAGTCTGTGATGTCACAAATCGAGATATGTGATTGCCGACTTACACCGTCAACATAGTGATTATTGTATACAGAGTGAATGTAGAAGTAAAAACGTCGTTTTTTGTCGTTGCAGTATGCCTTATTGCAGACGGTGGTGGAGGCGTGCCAGAAGAAACGCCAATGCAAAATCAACCCTTCACCAAAAGCATCCGGAAAGGATTCCTGTCCTGGCTCAAAGAAAATCGTCGAAATCGCATATAAGTGCAGACCTTGTAAGTCATTCTCATTGCCATATATTTTAATAGTCATTGTTATTTTTAGCCAATACAAAAAAGGTATCAACTGATACGAATACAATCTGTTTCGAAAATCTTATATTTTAAGGTGCTCAGTGCGACAAGGCACTGAACAAGGTACAAACTAAAGCAGCATGTTTTCTTCTTAAAAATTTTTGCAAATTTTTTGTTAAAATTTAGTAGAAAAAAAAATGCGTGTCAACATCTCACTGCATAGTTAATCTCCTTACTCCCGGTAGCGTAATACGTTTTTTACGTAAATCGCTGAAAAAGGGACGTTTAACGTGGTGCTTCAAATCAAACCTTGTCTCGCCCCATTATCAATATCACTGAATATGCAAGAGTGAAATAACTTGATTTGCCATTCTGCATTGATAAAAAATTCTGCGTATTGTAAAACTGTATATTCAATGTTTGACTCATGCAATGTCTTGAAACAATCGCACCGATTATCACTTGGTTTTATATGATTCACAGATGAATTCCGGAGTAAGGTGGCCTGCGAGAATGACGTGGTGCAACTCAAATGCAACCCCAATTCAAGGGTTGCTGTATATTCAGCCAGTTATGGGCGCACAGAATATGAAAGTGTTCAATGTCCTCAACCTCAAGGCGTTCCAGAGGAAAGTGAGTAAAATGTTTTTAAGTGTTTACATAAAAATGTGTAAAACATATCTATATTATACAGCTACAAGCAAAATCTTGGAAGCACTATTTCTGACGAACTGCCGGACCGATAAGGATGATCTTTACATGTATGTCATCTGTAATAGATGTAGATGTGAAAAAAATTATGAAACCCCGAACTTTTAATGTTGTAGAGCTTTTAAAGCTCATGTCACTTAAGTCCAATGTTAATATCGTGAGAGATATGTCGTTTCCGCTAGAAATGTCAAGGTGTGGGATTCTACCTGAGTGACTCGAATAATCAATAAAACAATGGAAAAGCTCGTGAAGGGCTCCTCATTCGAAGAGTTGAGGAACGGTGCATCGCTCAGGGTTCATAAGGTTCAAGGTCCAAGGTATAAGGTTTAACTCAATTTTTCTTGCATTCTTCCGGCTTCGATTTGTGGCACTGATCAATTTACTTGATTGCTGAATTTCTATTAATATTTACTGCAGATACAAAGTGAGAAGGCAGGCGCTGCGTCGCGTCGCGTCGGGACGGACCAAATATTATTAACTCTTAACGGTCGAAATCCGATTTTTTTTTTAAATTAAGTATTTAAAAATAACATAATAAAAGGAAATTTCTCCAGTAAGTGGACTGTGAAATTATGTACATCCAGCTATTCCTCATCATTTACAAATCTGAGTGTTACGTAAAAAATTTTGAGATCGATGCAGCTCGAACACAAAATGGTGTAATAAAATGGAAGAACATTTTTGCCTGTACATTATGCGTATAGGGCCCGCGAAGCCCTCCCGGGGGTTGGGCGGTTGGGCCCCCTAGTATGTATTATTTTTGCAAAAACGAGTTGTCACTGGTATTGAATACCATTTACCTCCAATACGTTGTGTCTATGAAAAGCAAAGCGCCTGCTATTTTTCGTGATGCAACACGGACATCCTGAGAACACGAATAGTTGCATGCAGACCTAGCCATCGAAAAAACCGGAGCGCCTTCAATTATTTCAGCGTGTGATGCCGAAATATGTCACTCATTGCATCCATACGTTGTGTCGTCGTTGTAAGATAGGGCGATTTGAGTATTTGTCCCAATTGAAAAAAAAAGAACAAGTATGTTTGTTATACATAATAAAATGGAGACTGCTCATGCGGCAATTCCTGGCCTGGCTTAATTGGCAATTACAGCACACACTTGATATCCTTCTGAATCTTCTCATATTTAATTTGCAAAAATCGTAAATAATCAATTTTTACTATCTACCGTATGCGGTAGCGCGGCCAAATGGTGCAACTTGCGGGGTCATTATCGGCGAAAACGAGAGAAATCACGACCTATCGTGATCATCCCTTTTTGCAAGGTGACATGTTTTCTTGGTTCAAAAATGCTCTGATATTTCACGTTTTTGAAAATAAAAATCCCCGACTTCACCCTAAGATTTTTAAGTTTTTTCTGGGATGGTTCTAGGCGAAACCTCTAATCACACACAATTTCAAGCGCGAAGTAAATATGGGACATGAAAAAACGCAATGTTTTGTCTGGAAGGTAAATTTTCCGTAGAATAATTCCCTAACGTTCCTCAGCTCAGCAGATTTGGGCGCAATTCCTTGAAAACTATTCCAAATGAGAGGAACAGTTTCACCCAATACCGATCTGATTGCTATAAGTCCCGATCAGAGAAGCGCCTTCAATTATTCGATAGGCAAAATACGTAACAGCCCGATGCGCAGTGTCTTTCATTTGACCGCGTATTCAATTTTATTTGGATTGCATTTTGCAAAAAGGAACCACTAGCATTGCAATGTTGCTAAGATTGTGCAACTTCTTTTGTCTTGGAGGATAAACCCGATTATCCCTTAATAGTTTCTATTTTACTCGCTAAAAACTGTAAATTTAAGACAAAAATTACCATCTAAATTTCATAGTTTTTCACAATTTCCGCAATTTTATTGCAAAGGATGAAGTTCCACAATCTTAGAATCGTTACAATGCTAGTGGTTCCTTTTCGCAAAATGCAATCCATTTGCAATGTGTGCTACTTGGATGAGTATACCGCCCAGTGAAATAGCTCAGTCCCCAAGCCAGACGCAAGATCCATGCATCCACGAATAACGAAAGAACGTCAAGGAATCTTTCTGCTCGATGCCATCCGATTCATCCCTCACGCGACAAAAGGACTTAGTTCAACTTTCACGTGAGCCCTGAAAAGACTGGGATCATTCGAACGACGAGTTCACCGAAAAGTGAAAGTAAAGCTGTCAAAGTTGAAAGCGACACGGGTTTAGGGGCGGCCGAGCTAGCGTGTCGCGAAAGAACGCGCATGGGGGAGTGAATGCACTGCGCCCCCCCCCCCCCCCCCCCCCCCNCATCGTTTCCGCACCGGTGAAGATGAAAAATTGACAAACGATTCGATATCATTTTACGAGTCATTAAAAAGCGTTTTATCACCGGCCACGAACGGTTCAGTTCCATATCATAATCACGGATTCGGCCGAGCGCCTCACGGTGTACACCGAGCGGTCGGTAATTTATTGAAAAGTAATTGCAATTACACGAATGAAAAGAATGTTTGTGCGGTTACTAGATTCCTCACTGGAAAAAACACATTGGATATAGAGTCCAGACTCTTAAAAACATCGACAAAAAAAATACTCTTGATTCAATCGGATTTTTGCTTAGATCAAGAACCAAGCCTCTTCATTTGGGCGGATTTCCTTTTGATTTAAGCTAAAATCTGATTGAATCAAGAGTATTTTTTCTTGTCAATGTTTTCAAGAGTCTGGACTCTGGATCCAATGTGTTTCTTTTCTAGTGTATTAGATTCCTGATTATATCGTTGGCTAAAGTTTAAAAATACAAGTTTCACATTACGACGTTGTGAGTGCCCGCTCACTGCTCATTTTTCATTTTTTTTTAATTTTTTTTATTTTTTTTTTTTTTTTTAAGAAATCAAACTTCTGACAACTGTTTATTTTGAAATCATTGTCCGTGAATATTCTATACTCGAAAAAATCACGGCCGAGTTACTAAGAAAATTCTCTGAAAAATTGAACGGACAATATTCACAAGTTTTCCTGAAAATTCGTATTTAATTGAAGGGAATTTGGCAACTGACGAAGATTCTTACGCCGTTTTTCCTTAGCACGGAAGAGTATTTTTTTGAAAGCGAAAGGACGCGGAAAAATCAGGAGTAAGGCGGTAGCGAAAACCCGAGGCAATAGTTAAGCTCGGCGAGTCCGCAGAAGGGAGAGAAACAATTGTGAAGTGGATCGAGGGAAAGAGTTCTCACGTAATGACGCGCTTGAATTTCAATTTTCTACCATTAAGCGCCCTGGTCTTCTATCCCAGGGCGTCTATATTTTGCCGACACCCTCGTTTCAGCTCAGAAGCAGATCCAACTTGCAAACGCACGGTCATCGAGAAGCAGGCATCAATTCGACCACAGTCACGAAACAGCGCCGAAACAAAAATATTCTATTCTACGTACACTGAAGGAATTTGATGACGGAATAGGAGAATTCAAGAGAAATGCTGTTTTGGTCAGTGCTGTTGTCATCCGCAAAAACAAATCGTTATAGACGCGTTTAATAAGTATTATCATAACGCGAATTATGGCTTGAAACTTTGACACAATGGTGTAAGAGTTCGATATCGAAAACGGAAAATCGACATTTTTCACCTCAAACCGATTTTGAGGTCAAATCTGCTCGACCGTATTAGCTTTGTAGTAATCGGTCACAATAAACTGAAAATGAAATAATTTTGAGGAAGATGAGGCACTACTGCACATCGTGCACATCGTTGTGTACTATTCTCCCGTGCTAAGGAAGAACGCCGTATGAGCCTTTAGACGTTGCAAAATTTCCTCCAATAAACGTAGAATTTACCGGGAAAAATTTGAATAATTTGTTCAAATTTTTCTGAAAACGTTGTTAGTAATTTCATCTATACATTTCTAAAAAAAAAACGTTCTCGCGCACTGGTTAGAAATGGTGTACACTGCCGTAGGTCCGGCACCGAGAATTTACGAATTTTCAACCGAAGAAGCACGCTTCGTATGGACAATGCGCAATGCGTGAAGTATTCATCCAGTCTTGTAGGCGCTAATATGCGCTCCGCGCTGCGCTGGCGACATGCGGCCTCTATTCAATGTCTTTGCATGCCGCACTGTTCGGCGCAATGCGTGAAGTATTCCTGTAGTCTTGTAGGCACTAATATGCGTTCGGCGATTTGTGTTCGGCGCGATTATTATGCAATATAAAAACTGTAATAATAAATTACTCCGGATAATTTTGATATTGGCTGCTAGTTTGAGCCGTAAACGTTTCATCACCTGACCTCGAAATTACTGGCATGTCCTACTCTCCCTTCATAGGTACCCTAGTTTGTTCCCATTGCTGACGTGCTCAGGAAAAACGTCGTGTGACCCCTTTAGACGTTGCCAAATTTCCTCCGATAAACGTAGAATTTACCGAGAAAATTTTGAATATTTTTTTTAAGATTTTTCCGAAAATGTTGTTAGCAATTTAATCTGAAATACATGTCTAAAAAATTCAAGGAAAAATATACACAACTTTCCTCACAAATACATGGGGAAATTTTGCAACTCTTGCAGGTTCATACGGCGTTTTTTTCTTAGCACAGCAGTATTGTGTATAAATATTTCCTCGATAATGCTCACAATTAGATGAGCTGGAAAAATAAAGAGACAGCCGGCTCACTCGATAGTAATAAACGAGGATAAGACGTAGGTAATGAATGCCAATATCAGACTAGGATGACTCTTGTTAGCGAACTAGAGCTAATACATTTCTGATAATTTCAGCGGCAATTTGTGCTGAGTTTAAAGTCAGACGGTTTGCGCAACAATTGCGAATAGACGTAAAGTCTGTATGGAAATAAGCTTGTGATCCCTGAATATGGACTTAAGGAGACAGAAGTATATATCATCCAAGTTGATAAGCAATCCTATCATGCCGTAATAGCATATCGACGGTGAAACTACCAAACCACGTATCTCGGTTTGCGACGTCGCAGACTTCCTGTCATACTTTATTTTTTAAATGAAAAACTACTTAACATCCAGTCTTGAAAATTTCTGTGATTTTTCCTCTTCGTGCGGAGAAAATTCCGTGAAAATTTCAAGGAATGATATTGATTTGGTCTACTTCAAAAAAATAAAATGTGAGCGTAGATTTTTAAACACCGCAAACGAGATACGTGGTTTGGTAGTTTCACCGTCGATATCCAACAAGGCTCAAAAGCATGTCACGGCACGGTTAAGACTCCACCCAAATACTGCCGTACGACGTCGTACGGACATTCGAGAGTTGCCAAATTTCCCCGAATAAAAAATGAATTTGTGAAGAACTTTGTGCCTATTTTTCCTTGTAATTTTCAGATATTTTAGAGTAAATTGCGAATAAAATTGTCTGAAAAATAAGAGGAAAAATATTCAGAATTTTCCAGGAAAATTCGTTTTTAATTGAAGGAAACATGGCAACGCCTGAATTCTCATACGGCGTTTTTACTTAGCACGGCAGGATAAGAGTAGGTATGTATTTGAATTGATGGCGTTTTCCATTGACACACATTGCGTGACCGGAAAATGATATACTGGTGAAAACTAATATACTTGAATGCGGACATGCTAAAAGAACACAAATGAGGCTCATTATGGTTCCGATAACCTATTAGGTATCTCATACAATCTAAGTTGCCATGTTTCCTTCAGTTTTGGATCACGCGCAATCTGGCCGACTAGGGACAACTTATCACTAAAACTAATATGAAATGAAAACGAGCACTTAGCTCGTGGATGTCCAAACCCTCTTTGTACGCAAAGTCTCGAATTGGGTCGAATTGACCCGTATTTAAGTACAGTGATTTCGATAGTTTTTTGAGTATTATCAATGTTATCGGGAGGAAAGTTACTGAAAGATGCCTAATTACGTCTCTTCTATCTTCGGCTGTGTTGCTCACGTAGCTCTTAAAGCGCCACTACAAGTAAGACGAGCAAGAACAAACACAATATGGAAATAAAGCCGAGGAAAGGACGCGCCTTGATGACGACGCAGAGATACAACTATTCGTACTTGATGGATGTCCGTGTTGCATCTGCAAAATTGAAGGCGCCATGGCGTGAGGCGTGAACTAGCGATGCTCCGCTTTGTACTGCCAATGAGGAGCCACTTAGATTCGAAAGGAAAGCTAAAAACTAGGTCCGAATACGCCTTTCCTATGTTTAGCTGTGTTGACGCTCGATTTTTTTTTTTACATTTTTTTATTGTAGCCTGACTCTTTTAAGGATTAAAACTCGTATGTGCCGGCCTCATACAACTCGCGCGCGGGCACATGTTTTAGCAAGCCTCGGGTCAATTTGTCTCGGCTTGAGCATCCAAGGGTTAATACTAATTTCTCAGTTTTGGATGGGTTTAGTTCAGGGCATTACGAATGCGTAAGTTCTTCATAGGTGCACCAGGCATTCAAAAATATTGATGTAAATTTTAAAAACCATTATGAGTAAGTCATTCCGTATGAAGACGCCGATGTATGGCTAATGGATACATAGCTGAAGTTTATTGGTAGGCACCAGCTGAATCAATTAACCAGTCATAAGAAAGTAAAATGGGTGAAGTTTTTGTGAATCAAATGGTGATACTTTAAGCATTCCTTCTCCAAAATAGCACCAGTTTCGTCGTGCCTATGGCAAATTTTGATTATTAATGTGCCAACCTAGAGAAATGATGTGAGATGTCATGATATGTTGCGACCACCTGCACATCTACTGCTTGCATTCTATGGAAAAGGGAAATGGGGATTGCACTTGAAGAAAAATGGGGGGGGGGGGGGGTGACAGGTAAACACAAGGCGCCCTCGCTCAGTAGTTGAGCTCTGGACGGACGGAACTCGATATTGATCCTAACCCCTAGATACAAGTATTCGTGTTCAGCGACTACCTGTGTTGCATATGCGGAGCAATGAAGGCGTTCTAGCTTTTCAAGTGTTCGCAGCGTGTCAGTTGCGGTTTCTTGCGCGGAAACTTAATCACACGATCCTTTAAAATTTCTGATGAGGATTTTAAATCCCAGACTGACAATAAGTTGAACATTATGACCATTTCAGGATTTTGTTCCACAGAGAAAATCTGGCAGTGAGCTGAAATTCATAGAAAAACGAATGTCCAACTAATTTTAAAATGTATCGCTGCTATGAATATGGCACCAATATCGCTTTTTGAGGCCTGTAAGTTCCAGTCTAAATACGCAGATGTACACCAGTTTTTTAAGTTTTCTAAGAGGCTGGAGTCTCTTTAAATCCGCTGATATCGTGAAAATAATAGGATTTGCAAAACTTGCTCAAAGGATCATTATGATTTAACACAGTAAAACAGTTCTACCGTGCTAAGGAAAAACGCCGTATGAACCTTCATCAATTGCCAAATTTCCTTCTATTAAAAACAAATGTTCAGGAAAGTTTGTGAATATTTTCCGTTCAATTTTTCCGAGAATTTTCTCAGTAATTAGATCTAAAATATCTGAAAATTTCAAGAGAAAATATTCATAATTCTCTTCACAAATACACATTTCATTGGAGGAAATTTTAACCATGGCTCATGGAAAATTCTAATTATGAATCATTTTTTGCAGCGTGCCTCGTTAACTATGCTACAGAGACGGTGATGCAGATCTGCCACGGGAAAAGACGGTGTACATTAGCCGCCGATGCTGCCACCTTCGGCAATCCTTGCAAACCAGAGTCTAGAATGTACCTTAAAGTAGTTTACACATGTGGTAAGTTTACCTAATTTCATAACTTCTCATTTTTTTCTACATACATCTATTGTATTTTCTCCACTTCTAATGACTTGATTACATTTTTTTGGTTGGTTACCGTTTCATTAGAAACCGGTCTGAATCCTTTGGGGAATTTATATTCATTTTCTACTTCTAGGACACCGTCAGTGTCACAGGTTTCCTTGAATAGGGGAAGACCTCAAACTAACGTCAATTTCTTAGGGTAACTATTTTGATTAGTGGCGTCCGCTATTTTTGTTAAAAAAAATTATAATGATTAATACGTTATGCATCCAAAATTGATGTATTAACTTTTACAAAAAAGCCTGATTATACTTCATCTGCCGATGTAAATTTAATTGTAGTTGGATCTTTGAATATTTTACAATCGGAGCAGGAGAAATAATTGAAAATACGTTTTGAGCTCCAGTGCCGGATTTGCCTACTTGCCGCCCATATTGTGCCGCCCCTTCTCATTCGTTTTGAAACATTAATAAAAACCATCAAGTGAACGTGCCAGAGGAAGAAGGGTGCAGAAGACGCGTTTACTCGTGTTGGACACATTTTTTGCGAAAGCCCTGTCAACACTACTAGCAAAAATTCACGGAACTTTGCGCGAAAGTTAAGCTCCGTAAACCTATCTCTGAGTGAACAAGGTCTTCGATTTATAAGAAATGAACGAAAAAATTACGAAAGAATAAACATAAAATAATGTGGTTTAATAATTTTAACTTCCACTGCCGCGCCGCGCCGCGCTGATCACACTACGTTTGGCGCAATGCGTGAAGTATTTCTATAGTCTTGTAGGCGCTATGCGTTTTGCGCCGACCGCTGCTGAGCGCACTGTGTTTGCTGTTTGACGCAATGCGTGAAGTATTCATGCATTCTTGTAGGCGCTAATATGTGATACATGCCGACCGCCGCGCCGCGCCGAGGGCTTCTCCTTTTCATCTCAAGTCCACGTCATCATTGATCTGTACGCCGTGTCGCTCCAGGCCAAATTGAAAGTTTGGTATTTCTCATAACTCGACTAATGCTAATGCGGTGCTGTCTCTTGTATCACCGCAAAACAACAAAATTAGAAATTACTATATACTCTTAGGAAATGTAATATTTTGTCGCCTTTTCTCGTTCGTAATATATTTTATACCTACATTTAAAAAAGAATTGCAACATTTACCACCCCCTAAATCCGGCCCTGTTGAGCTCCATGTACTCATAACTTCATTGCTTGGATTATGGATTGTAGTTTTTGGCTCATTTCCTTGAGTAATCAGATACAAATTCTCTTACGAACTTACTCCACTTAATGCGCCTTAAAATTTGCAACAATCCGAACCGGTGCCGATATAGGAGCGTCATTACGGGAGGGCATATAAAAAAATTTACATTTCAAATAAAAAGTTCTTTGGAGGGATATTTTGGTGCATTTTTAAGAATTGCCGTTGAGAAGTGTTCCATTAGAAAAGAAAGCATGACAGCAGGTTTGCAACGTCCCAAACCGAAGCGAGGTGGTTTGGAAGTTCCATCGTCAAAATGTGCGATCAATAAGGATGTTTCAACACTTACACGGAAAAAAAAAGAACTTCTTGCGTGGGACCCGAAGTTTAGGTCATATGGATCTCTGAAGTTTCCAGATTGAACATCTGAACACTTTAGGTCCAGCTACTGAGGTTTGGATCACACATCTGAAACTTCAGTTCTTACGTCTAAAGTACTCCTGTTTTCACATACGAAATACTTCGATTCTCACATCCGAAAAACTTCGGTTCTCACATCTGAAGTACTTCAAATGTTGGAACTGAAGTTTCAGATGTGTGATCCGAACCTCGACAGCTAGACCTAAAGCGTTCAGATGCTCAATCCGAAAACTTCAGAGATCCATATGACCTAAACTTCGGGTCCCACGCACGAAGTTTTTTTCTCCGTGTAATTTTTAGAAAAGAGAGGATAGGGGTAGAGTACCTGTATAGGGAGAGTACCGACAGATCGGTTCATGGAGGGCTTAGGGCCCAAAAGTGCAGCCACCCTTCTAACCAACTTCTAACGCACAAAATTTCACTGCTAGTCTGCAGATTCCTATTCTAACCAAGATGGTTAAGAATGTACAGAAATGAGCGTTCTTCCGCGGAATTGAGTAAATTTATGCAAAAACTGAGTCAAACACGTGCTTAATAAAGGACGGTTCGTAACAATAGTATTCGTAAATCGCTCTGGATGATTGAAATTCATAGGTTGGCTGCCCTTTTGGGCCCTAACTTTATTCGCGGAGGCATCGGTGAAGGCCTGATGGACTTTCGGAGTTTCAGATCTGTCGGTACTCTCCCTATACAGGTACTACAGGATAGGGACATAATACTTATTTTTTAAATGAATGATGTGTGCTTTGCACAGTGCCTAGAAAAGTATTGAAGGAGCAATACGAGGAGCAAGCAGAAGCGGATGAGCTTCTGGACTCGGACGATGATGAAGGTGCCGAGGAGATCTCGGACGAGATTCTCACTGATCCTTCGCCCAATTTGGCCAGTGGAGGCCGGCATAACCTGAGTTATCCACCCCTGGCCTCCGCGTCTTCCACTGCCACACCTCACCTTATTTCTACCAGACAGCAGTCTTCTATAGACCCACCAGGTATGAGATTCGCTTTGATCTCCAACCAAGTAGCATTTTTCAATGTAAAAGTTGCAACAAGTTGAAACAATGGAAAACAAAGGGTATGTAAAAGCAGCCCGAAACGGAAACGACAATCGAAAACACAGGAAAAAGCGGAAACAAGGCAAAGTATTATGCTGCTACTATGGCTAAATACTATGTGCTGTTTTTTATTTTAATTTCTTTTTTATTTTTAATTCTTTTTGCAGTTGATAATGGTGCCGTAAGGTACCGGAACGTCCTGCCTTTATATCTTGTACTTTAGCCTTGTTTCCGCTTTTTCCTGTGTTTTCGATTGTTGAAACAATGTTGGTATTTGGTCAAATTTTTTCGGTCAAATTTTGGTTGATAAGTGCCGATTTTCGGCGATCTGATCGGAAGACAAAGTTGCAACCTGCTGAGATTGCAAAATTGCTGAACCAAAGTTGTTTAAAGTCTAAAGATAGGCAACCAGTAATACTTTGAAGTTGAAACATGTTTCAACTTAATTGCAACTAGTTCCAACAATGGTAGCTCCTTCGGGGGAGAGAGTAGGCAATCTGCACATCAATCTATTAGTTGCAAGAATCAAACGATTTTTTTGCAAGTTGTTGCAACCTCTGCTACTTGGGCAGTGTTGATAAATGAGTCGCGAATAAGTAAGTAATAAAAAGTAACAGCACCTTTTTCTCTGAGAGGTGCTAGGGTTGCGGAAATACATATTCGAACCTTCATGATAGCAGGGATGGTTTCCCTAATATATTGGATGAAATTTGGTGATTGGAAATACCTAGTAAGCTCCAAAGAGCCAAAAGTGTAGACTCTGATGTCTACGTAATTAACTAGAAACTGATAAATCAATTTTCTTTCTACTTCAAGGGGAAAAGAAGGAAGAATATATATACTCCTGTAATTTTGTTGGGGTCAGACTAAAAGATTTAACAGTGGTGACTCAATTACTCACTGCAGTGGAAAAAAAATTGTCATAAATGTCGATTTTCACTATTTGAAGTCGAACGTTTTTCATTGCTCTTCAGATTATCAGGTCAAAATTTCCAACCATAATATGCATTATTAATAATGTTAAGAGCTTTTGGAATGAATCATTTCTAAAGCTGACAACAGCTGGCAAGCTAGATCTGCATTTTCTCAAAGTCAGTATTTATTTATCTTCCTCCACTTTTGAATTGCACTCAAAGGGTCATTTTTTGAAATTTCTTTATGTCCTTCACATTAAATGATGCAGAATAACGCCTACAGAGGGTTTCATTATTTCAGCTCATAATATCCCCCCCTCCCCACTTTGAGGGTCATTTTGCCTGAACCCATCTCATTCACTACAGAAAGAACAATCATGAAATCAAACAATTTCTAGAGACATTCTCAGTTTCAGATTTTGTGCTATTCAATAGCGGTTCAATTTTCTGTAGTACCGGATGAAACTATGAAGAGAGATTCCTTCAAACTGACATTGCTTAAACAAAAATAAACATATTTCTTCATGATACTTACAAACTAACAATATTCTTGCTTCATTCAATACCGTTTGGTGTGTACTTTTTTTTTCCAAATCCTGTCCTTCTTAACACTTCGATTAACGTGCCTGATTTTGCTTGTGTGATGGTGATGGTTCGCTTTTCATAATAATTAGAGTCCGTCCTGTTGAAATCCGAATAGGACGAATCCTATAGGTTGAATCGTCTGAGAATAGATAGATAAGAATATCTACGTAAGCCTATAGGTAATTTTTCTTTTTTCATCTAAATACAGATACTTAAAAATTTTCATTTTCTTTTCGTCTCTTTTTGGTATATTTTTTTTACTCCCAAAAATGTTTTATACATACGATTTTTACTGTTTCTGTTGCTGCTCCCTATACTTCAGAAATATAGGACTTATTTAGGAATATATGAATTACTCATTATTAGTAGACTTTTGGAGTTAGAAAGCTGACAGAAGCAAGGGTAGATTTTATTAATAATGCATTTTTTATTATTTTTCTTCTCAATCTTTTAGAGGTTTCATCACTTAGTAATTTTTTTGTTGAAACACAAATAATTTCATTGCTCTTGTTCACAGTCTATTAAAATTTGGATATTTTTTGTTACTTCAAGAAGATGATGCTTCTTTTCCTTTCTTCTTTTGCTTCTTTTTTCTTTCTGTTATTTAATTTTTGCGTTTGAAAGTTTCAGTTTTTTCTCATTTTTTGATTTTTCTTTTTTTTTCTTTTTTTCATGGATGTTGTAGTTGAGAAAGTAAGCTCTCAACTAAGTAGTACAACTGAGTATCCCCCTGTTTCTCGCCGTTTACATCCTTCAACTGTTACTCCCATCATAGATAATTCTCTGCAGAAGGATTCAGGTTCCAATAACGACACTGGATTTCTCAACTGCACCATCACCATTATCACTAACAGCAAAACCAAAGTCATCGGATTTATTTCTGAGTGGATTAATACTTATTATTTTTTATTACGTGAGTTATCATTAATATTTTAAAGTTTTTATTTTCACATAAAGTTTTTTTTTACTCAATACTCCTTACTCTCAATGCGCATACTTTTCTTTCAAAGTACCCTTCACGGTTGTTCTTTTTCTCCCATTCAATGATCACAAAGGTTCGTCAGATTTTAGCATAAGATTCACAGAATAATGTCAATGCAATTTTTTCAGTAAAAGGTCATTATTATCTTGTGCAGCTCTCTGATGAACAATCAATGTAAAATGATATTTTCCCCCCTTTAAATTGCTTCGAGTAAAATTTGATTTCAACAATACATAGTTTGGAGATTTTCTCTGAAGTTAACCAAATCTTCATCCATGTCTGCGTTTTTCATCTCGTTTTTTTTAAAATGTTGGATCCCTCTCATTTTAGCAACTGATAATTACAAAAGTAATGGTAAAAAAAGAAGAAGAAATCATTTTACTTTAAAAGCAGAGCTTACAAATTGGTGAGAAAAATTTATTTGATGGGCACTACCTCAACAGTTATGCAAAAGTTTTACTGAGTGCCCTTATTATTTTACTGTAACTGGGATGTCTATGCCTCCGAAAGTCTCATTTTTTGTATTAAGTCAGCCTTGCAAGCTATGTAAGGCTGGTTTGATTTTTAGTTGATAAAAAACGTATTTTCCTGTGCAAATCACAGTTAAATTCTGGCACTATTTATAAACTGTTTCCACATGATGAAAGGTTTTGAAAACGATGTTTCATCTATCAATAGTATTTATTCTGCGTATGCACCATGAAATATTTTGTTGGTCTTGTTTTAATAATTTCTTTCATGTACTTTTCCTTTCAGAAAATCAAGAAAAACTTTACCTGTACCTGAGTGTGAGCGTCGGTGGTGGTTTACTAGTTTTACTGTTAGTTGTAATTGCAAAACTTCTATGGCAGAAGCACAGGTTAAAAAAGACAGCAAAATTTCACGAAAGTGCAAATCAGCAAAGTACATCTTTACCAAATGGTTTCACTGATGATATTAGTGAAATTGATGCTGATATTGATCTGACAATGACAGCACCCCCTATAACAATTATATCTCCACACTCACCATCAGAGGTAAGCTTTGTTCATGAAATAGAAAATACAATAAAGTATTACTACATTGCAAATAATATTCAAATTACAATTTAATAAGAAAAATACTGTGAGCACTCTACTAAAGACTTTTCAATGAATGAGAGGTGATGTAGGTATTTTATGAATAAATTATAAATCTGCATTAAAAAATTTAAGCAGAAAAAAGGGAGATTAACATGAGATACTGCCTGTGTCAAATGCACTTTTATAAGATTTCGATCTTGTATAAAAAAACAGAAATTCACATGCATATTAAAAGTTAAGGATACAAACTGCCTACTTAACTAACAAAGAACCTGATAATACGAATTGGTCAGTTCCTTTACCAGATTTAACGGACTGTTCTCATTTCCAAACCTTTTCTTTGCAGACATATGTGTTTAGCAACAACTGCCTAACACATGTGCTCAAAATCACGACTCAACAACTCAATGACAAGTTCATGTGTGTCGAATCCTTTAATCTTTTGTAATTACTTGCCTTGCCAGAAAATCCCTGCTGTCGCATGAATTAAAAAATTGAATTGTTTTAAATTTCTAGCATATGTACTGCTTTTTTATTTTTGTCGGAAAAATAAAGATAAAAAGATGAATGATGTCATTAATTCTAAGTTACCACTGGAAGGAGGCAGCAATGAACGTTCAGTAAAAGGTATGGGCAGCAGGGAGTGGAGAAAGAACTCATCAGGTTTCTTTGGCGAGATGTTTGAAGAGAGGATAAGTTTCGATGGCAATTAAGAGTCGCAGAGTGCCTTACTGCGTTGATTAAGTGGCTCAAATAGACATTGATTCTATATTTGATGCAATGGCGTGGAAAATGATATATTTCTTTTTAAAGTAATATTTTTGTTTTTTCTCCGTTTGTTTCTAGGTTGTCAGGTATGGTGAGGCACATTTACCTAAAAGTTTAAGTAGGAGTGGAAACAACCAATATTATTACGGCTGACAAAAGATGGCCGGGGGGCCTCTCTACGAAGAGGCTCGCTCGGCCAATCCTCCTGGTGCATGCCCTGGATCTAGGACATATTGTTTTTAAAATCAAAAAGCTCATAAATTTATCATGAACAAATTTTTTATACCAAAAAAGAAAAACAATTTTGTACATAATGATGTTATTTATTCTACTGTTGTAAAATATTCATACTATGTAAAAATGATTTTTTTTTAATAAAACCAGAAAATTTTTTCCAGGGATTCCTTCATTTCTATGCACCTCAGTAACTAATAGCCTCCATTATTTGAACTTTACTAAGAACAAAGAATCTAACGTGAGCGATGGAAAACCTTGTGTCCTTGATTCTAAAGGCACACATCGGCAGTGAAACGCACAAACCATGTATTTTTTTGGCAGTGATTAGCTTGAAAATTTAACGAAATATTTTTCACGTGGAGAGGGATGATCACTAAAGCTCTTAAGAGTTGATGAGTAGTTTTCTATTTGAATAATAAAAAATGACAGGAAATCTGAAATGCTACTAATCAAGATGTACAAGGTTTGAGAGTTTCACGCTCAATATATTTCTATTTATTAACCAACCGATGGATCCATTGCAAACTTCAACCACCATAAAAATAAAATATATATTTTTTGAAGATAATAGCTCTAGCACCACAATGAGCACATTGGCAAAGTCTGTAATTCACTTCTTATCTTGCAAGCTATAGGAAATTTTAGCAGCTTTCTGCTTCAAAAAGTATAATGCAACAAAGAAATAATTCAATACTTATGAGACAACTCAGTTTCATGATACTTTACATAACTTATAATGGCTTCCATTATACGATGCAGTTTCTCAGATAAAAACAAACAACAAAGGTACTTCATTTAACTCCAAGCAATTCGAAAAGCAGAAAATTAAAGATGTTGCATATAAGATGTTTGTTACATCATTTCTTCTGAGTGGAGAACCAGTATTAAATAAAGAAGGCAACTTTGCGTTTGGGGTGGAAGAGTGAAACCAGGGTGACTCAACTTGTATCAAATTCTAACTTGACCATACTGTAATATTTTAAGAGGAAAGCTCAGAAAATATGGAAATTTCATACACTGATTGTTCAGTAATGACTCCTTTTGTCACTTTCTAAATCTGCCTTGCTAAGGAAGAATGCTATATGAGCCTTCAGACGTTGCCAAATTTCCTTTCATAAAATGTTTCTTTTTGAGGAGTGTTGCGAATATTTTTCAGTGAATTTTATTCGTAATCATATCTAAATTACCTTACGATTTCAAAAGAAAATATTCCTAATACTTCTCAAAAATGTCAGAAAATTTGGCAGCTCTCAAATGTTCACACGGCGTTTACCTCTAGCACAACAGAAATGTGCTCATTGGGATTTTTGAGTCACCATCCACAAGAAACAACTCTGCTTTCACATTAGCTGAAGTTTACCTAAAAGCTCAAAAATTATATTTATCCCTCACCACGTCAAAAAATTTCTTGCCTGCTTATGATTATTATTTTTTTTTCTTTCTTTCTTTCTTTTTTTTTTAAATTCAATTTTCGCTATAAAAGAAGCTGAAATAATTCTTCCTCTTGCAGCTTTTCAAATTCACTTTGGTAATGGCTACTTAAGCAACAGCTGTTCAGAAAATAAAATTTGGCAAGACCGTCTTGGACTCAAAAAGTCCAAAATCAGCCCATCCCAGACCAGAATCCTGATCCCTAAGGTTGGGTGACACACCACTCATGATAAAATAAATGTTGAGTCTCTTAATTGATGACATCTTTAGTGTCAAAACGTTTTACTAACATTGGCAATAAAGTATCATTTCCCGAAAACGATCAGATTTAATGAAATTGGTGAAACACACACCAGTTTTCTTGATTCCATTTGGTAAAAAGAAAAAAATGGACCAAAAAAAATTAAGCTGGGTTTTATTAAATACTTATTTTTATTTTTTCATATTCTTTAACAACATTTCTCCAATTCTATTTTTCGCTATATTTGAGAATGAGGTTTCACCATAAATAAATAGAGGACACGATTAGGGTGGAATTTTTCTGCCAAAACCCATTCAAAAAGCATGGTAGCAAAGATTTGAGTTATCCTCTCTCTCAGAACTTAGACATTTAACTTGTTAGTACAGTGTCTGCCATGCTGATTGCATCAACCGAAACTGAATGATTAAGTGAACGTTACACTAGTTGTTTTGACCAGGATGCAGTCGCACACATTAAACGCTCCATTAGGGCCAGAGGATCAGAGCTGTGTACAGCTCTTGACCAGCGTGGCCTCAAATGGAGAACCCACAAATGAACTTTTCTAGGGGGAGGGGGGAAGGGGTGAAACGCACTTGCGTTGAAAGAAATATGTGCCCAAGATACCATGATAGGCAAAGTGTTACATTTTTAAATACGAAATACAGTTAAGTCTATTTATCATTAGGGGAAAAATCCTATTATGATAGTGAAGGCTACAATAGAGCAAAGGAGAAAGTAAAAAATCACAGTGAAAGCAGTCTTTACCTTATTAAAATGAAATTGAATTAACCTAGAGGTTTTCTTCGAGGATCTCATTTGGATTGATGCCATAATACAGTTTTGAGCCTTTCACATAAGCCCATGACATTCTTTTGCTAGTGAATGCTATCCCAACATCACCATTTTTGGCAATTGTTATTGCACCTGCTTCGCCGCCAACGCGCTTAGTCATACCTTCAACAGCAAGTCGAGTTGCCTCCTGAGCACCCGTACCTGCAACAATAAAAATTATAAAAATAATAAAAAAATATACGACAGTAACAAAAGTGGATTTAATGAATATATAAGGTAAGATGAATGATTACAAAATTATTGATTTTTTTCATGCTGTCAAATCAGAGGAAAATATGTTATAATACATCAGCATTAATAGTTCATAGACATTGTTTGTTCCCTTAATTTTGCAAAACTGTACACTATCTAAAATTACATGAGGATTAAATTAACATATGATCTTTCCTTTTGTCTTAGAGCACTCTTACCTACCTACATCTCCATTTCTATCCTTATGACGCAATATTTTGTGTAGCATATCCAATTATTGCAGGTTCTTTTAGTATTTTCTCTGCAAAAACTTTAACAAATCAATTGCATTATTATAACATTGCACATCATTGGCTTTTTCTAAAGTCCATGGTCATATATTACTTATCCCTGACATAGAGATTCAATATAAGAATAAAACATTACACCGAGGCAAGGAATTTGCAACACTGCAAAACAAGATCCTTGCTTTGCAATTTTCTCCGTGGAAATGTACATCGTGAAAACTGTTAATTATCAGATTTTCTGGCTTTAACTTGAATAAAATATTTTAGATGGAGAGAAACTGACCTGCTTCCAGGTAAGCAAGGATTCGTTGCGAGACATTATATCTCAAAATGGATTCACCATTTCCAGTTGCTGATACAGTTCCAATGTTATCATCACAATATCCTCCGCTTCCTGGAATTGGAGTATCACCCACACGTCCTGTTAATTTCCCGTTCATTCCTCCGGTTGAAGTACATGAAACCATATGCCCGTTGCTATCGATACCAATGGCCCCCACTGTTCCAGGTATCTCAGTTGCTGCCGAGGATATTTTCTTATTTTTAAAATTTTCCAAAGCTTGTAAAGATGCCGGTGTAATAAGTTCTTCATCAGGTACAAAAGGTATTCCATTTTGATGGGCAAAAGCGGTTGCACTTTCAAAGCCAAGAATTGAGTGAGGTAAGTCCATGACAAGTTTGGCTACACTTATGGGATGCGCAACATTGGTAATACCTGTTACACTTCCTAGAAAAAAGTATAAAGGAAAGGTTTAAAAAAGGAGGAAAATAAAATGAATGAATGACCATAAGTGAAAAAACAAAGGAATTGGAATGCCAAAAAATAGGACAGACTGGCAGAGAGAAACAGCAAAAACACAATGAGAACAATACTGCAGTGAGCCTGCAGGGCCAGCAAGTTTTTACCAAAATCAAGACGTTACAAGTCTCAGAGCACCAGAAAAATACCCAAAATACCCTTATTATTAATATGTATCATCCTACTGCACGGATTTCATAACTTAGGAGATTTGTTTAGGGGATTTTGAGATTGAAAAAAGAAGATTCATTAGGCTTTCACCTGTTCCTAGTATATCTTTTGGAAACGTTCCTCAACATTACTGAAATATTACTAACGTAACATTCTTGAAACGTTCTTAGTGCAACAGCAGAAAAAAAAAAAGAAAAAAAAAAAAAAATTTGTTCCTGAAAAATTCGATATTATTTAGGGTACTGGTTGTCATTGAAAGAGAAAACAATTGAAAATTGGAGTCCATGGAACTCTCAGCCTTCACTAAAATATTTGAAGGGCTAAATAAAAGAGAACTTTTGGACAAGGCAGCATTCGGCAGATTGCATTCCAAAAGCTCCATTCAGAAAAGGCTTAGAGGTACTCCAAAACTGTCTAATCCCAAGATATACATCTTCCAATTAATGTACGAATATATTGAGCCTGAAACCTTAATTTTCTGCAGCAGACAATTGAAAATTTGCATGAGAAAATGTTATTGTTCCTTATGAAAGTCCTTGATGAACTAGGTCCCCAGTATTATTTTACACAATTTTTCCAATTTGGGAAATTGAAGCAGAATGGATTTTGGTATTGTCTGGGGTACTGGTTGTCATTTGAAAAAGGGAAATGGAAAATTGAAGTCCCTAATCTCTACATATACCTGATACATCCCTAAATACATCTTTCAATTAATGTAAGGATACATTGAGCCCAAAACCTCAATTATCTGAGAGAAAATCTGCCACCTTCAGAAAGCATGTGGCAGCATTTTTCATTCAAACATATGTATTTGAGCAGAAAATATTATTTTGTCACAACTTCTTCAATAATTGTGCATAGTTCAATTTAGAAACCGAGGAGATTTTCGACTTTAATTCACACAGGCCTTACAATTTGTGAATGAAATTCATCAAATTTCAGACACCTGAAAATTCTCCATTCAATCTCACGTCACAAATACTTACTACTTATTTGGAGCACTGCTATTTGTATCCTAAAACAGAATGAAAAAAACTCTCTAAAAACTTCACTAAATATTTGGGATACAATTTCACCCAGGCCACTTTCCTATTTGCTAGTTACTCTTGGGTGCATGGAGAAGACACATGAAGCTCCTTTTAAATTGTGACTTGTAATCACATTTTGGAAAATACTTACCAACTTTCATATGTTCTCCTTCCATTACTAACGCTTCCATTTGAACTTTGCCATCTACGGTCAGAACAGACCCTTTTCCTGGAAGAGAAAAGAATCGATTTTCAACAAAAACCTGGGATATTATGATCACATAAAGCAAGATAGAAAACAATGGGTCAGTCGTCCTAGTCGCAATATTTACATGATTTCATATTACAGATCAGAAAATAATAATGAGATCTGTCCAAGTACCAAGTTTCTAGGTTCAATATTAAAAGACATATCGTCCATCAAAAAACATGATGTATGATATCATCCAACGCGATGGTGCATACCTACCATGTTTCCTTTCACCTAGGTTTCACAGAAGTCAATCAACCAGTGCAAATGTGTGTACATATTTTTAATTGATTAATCCAAGGAAACCTCTTGAATTAATCTAATTGGAGAAAACTATGAGTGGTACTACTGAGGTGACATCATACACAGTGTTTTTCAAAGGGCGATATCTTCGTAAATATTCAACGTAGGAACTAGGCATTTGGACACATCTTATTATTTTTTGGTAATTTATAACTTTATCCCATTAGAATTAATTTCTGTGACTAGCCGCAACTAGTTATTGCTGATATGAAAAGTTTCTCAAGAGGAGCAATAGAAGTCTTCCAACAAAAAACTAAGATATTATGATCATATGAGGGGAAAAAAATGTTGTTTTCACCAAGTAAAGAAAATTACAGTCCTAACACAAGATTAAAAATTTCATCACTTGTTTCCACTAATTCTGCTGCTTAATTAATGAAAGAGTTCCATTCCAAATGCTGGTCCATTTAATCTCTGGGGTATAAATTCAATGCAAGAAGTAATGTTTATTGAGACATTCCATTTACTTGTAATGTTACTATACTTTGCAATAAAAATAAACAAAATAACGAAAACCTAATCTTTGTGTATCATTGTGTCCCATATCTACAAAATGATGAAACCTGACCTGCATTGAAGATGGGGTCATCTTCCATCATTTCAACCGCAGCGATTGTAGCACTTAGGACACACCCCGTGTTGCGAAGAACCTCATAACCTTTACGAGCTACTTTTCGAATGGATATCAACTTAATAGCCGCTCTCTCATCCGACACGTACCCAGCTCCTCCATGAACTAAAATGATTGGCTCCATGATCACAATGAAACTTTGAAAGAGAGAAAAATTATGGATAAATTCAGAGTTGATTATAAACATTGTATAGATAAAAAAATAAGAAATGAGACGCAAAGCTGCCTTGGTATCTATCGTAGAGAATTTTTATGATAGTACTCAGTTCATTTTTCCAGTTTTTCCTGAAGAAACGGGTGCAAGTAGTCTCATAGCTGATCATGATACAACCTACTCAGCGAAACAATCCTAACCCTAACTATTTGATAGTTTAAAAAGAAACAAAAAATATTAACTATTATTAGTTTTTTTTATGACTATTTTTCAGAGTATAAAAACAAAAAGCTTTGCATCCAAAAGATAATTTCTAATAATTGACTAAAATAAATCTGTGATGGAAAAAATTATGTTGAACTGCATATTACTGGATGTTAGCAGTGATTGCATGGTTGGTGGTGAAAAACACGATGGAGATATCTAAAAACAATTAAAACTAATAATTAATTCCCCTGGTGATAGAAAAATAAACCACAAACCGGACAAATAAAATCCCCAATAAATTAACGTGCAACGTCGGCTTGTATCTTACGTTGGAGAAAAGGCCAAGAAAGAGTAGTACCTAGAAGTAAGAATGTGTCTTCCTTGAGGAGATGACTGGAGCCAATTATTTTAGAAAATGGAGGAGTATAGTTACATCATGCAGCATTTCTCAGCTGAAGTCCTGGTAATCGATGAGTATATACATTGACATTTTCTCTCGTTTCATAAAATAATTTACAGCAGGTGCTTAGTTGGATACTCGTTCGTTCGTAAAATTCTGAAAAAATGAGCTTCACCAGCTAACTAATCTCAGACGAATTTGTGAGGACAGAATCCAGAAGTTCTTGCTATGTTTAATGCGTGAGAGATATGAGATATTCCAAGAGCTCTATCCCTGCAGCCCAAACTATGAGGGAACATTTCTAAAGTTGATGAAATCGTGTCAAAGAAAACTTGGTGATCAGAAAGCGTTCTACACAATGAAAAATTTGGTGAAAGACAAAATTATTTGGTTTCATTGGACTTGGAATTTTTAGAATATAGGTATGAAAAGAAAAGTTAGGGTATAGATGCTGCTGTTTGAAAAAAAATGTGGCATCTACTTTGTATGTCCATGGCCAATAGTAAGAATTCCGAAACTGGGTAATTAGGTACTCACTGTTAGAATCCCTGATATCATCTCTCAAAAAGTTAATCTTAAAAATGAGAACAAAAAAGAAAGAAAATTATACTTTCTGAATGTTTATCGATCGAAAAGAATAGTAAACGAAATTGAGGCCCATCACAAATGAGGTATGTGCATGCCATTTTTAAAACATTATAAAAATAATGATGATTTTATAGATGACTTGTTTAACCGTTTCATTTGCATGAAAATCGAACTTGAAAATTTAATTATGATCCACAGCACCATGACAAAATTTTTAAACGCTGCAAGACTCAATGTACTTTGAATCGACAAAATTAAAAATTAATTTACATGCTTGAGAATGACAAATAGACTTAAGAAATTTGAGCTCACCCTTTCGAGAAGGCTCTAGGTCTAGGTTCAAACCAAGTCACGTCAAACTGAAGATAATGACAGGGTTTTTTTTAGTGTGGAAATGATAGTAAATAAAATTGATTATAACCTAATAAAAATACAAATTTGACGAATTTAACATCATGGAAGGAAGTGTTTTCATAGGAGAAATTGAAGGCAAAAAAAAAAAATAAAAAATAACTAGGGTTAAGCATCTTTTGGGGTAACTAAACAATTGAAGCGAACTACTTATTTTTCCGTAAGTGAGCTTAATGAGCCTCATCAATCCTTCCTTAAAATTTTATTCTGTACTTAACTTTTTATAGAACTTTTTTTTTTTAAAGTGGAACAAGTGGCAAAACACTTTTTATCAATTAAGTAACATGTTCAATCTTTGCAGAATATTTAAGAAACACAGCAGAAATAGTTGGTATAATAACTTTAGAGGGGTTCTCATTACCCTGCGTGATTGCACTCTCTAGTACTGAGGACTGTCGTAGAATGAAAATGAAGCAGTACCTGCATTAAACTCAGGATCAGCTTCCATGACCTCAACTGCAGCAACAGTAGCATCAAGAATGGAGCCACCGCTTTGCACAACTTGATGTCCTTTAATAGCTGCTGCTCTAACACCCCTTAAACATCTCGATATATCTGCATATGTATAGTTTCCTGCTCCTCCATGAACTACAATGATTGGCTCAATCATGTTTAAATCTTCCAGATCTTTTGGTGTCAAATATACTACCTCAGCGTCGTCTGGAAACTCTTCACTGTGATTTGATGGCGATGACTTTTTAGACTTCCTGGACTTTCTGTTAGATGAAACTACCGGTTTCAATCCAAGATCTTCTATTGATGCATTGATGGGCAATTGATAATGGCAATTATTTGAAGTGTCACTGAAATGAAGAAAAGACAAACACTAAAAAGATAAATGAATTAAATTGCTATTATTACAGTACAGATCTTTAAAGAATGGAAGAGATTTCCAATTCCAGATGAGGGCCCTATACTTCAATGACAATGAGCAAAACATGAGATGTTTACAGTTCTTTTGACTCCATTCAAGGCACAGCTTTGGGAATATCTAATGAAAATAAGCGAGGAGGTTTAGATGATTATTCAATCAATTTGGACGACAGAGATAAGATAATGAGCCCCAACTATGTAAATAATTATTTCTATGATATCAGTTAAGTGAGTATGATAGTATGATGTGATGTTGTCCCACTTCTCAGGTATTGTCAACAGGTAATTAACTCAGTTATTTAAGGTATGTACATATATTCACTGCGGTTGGTACATACTTTATGAGATTGAAAATGTTCTATTCATTTTCATTCAAGTATTTAAAAATGTTTTTCCAATGTTGGTTTATTTTCACAACATACTTTTGCAAAAAGAAACCTGGGAAAAAAGGGGGAAGAATAGAGGAATGAAGAATGATTAAAAATCTCATACAATCCTTGACTCCTAAAAACTTCCGGGTGTGCGAACTATTCTTGGATTTCAAACAACCTGAAATAGGTTTGAATGGAATCAACGTTTGCAAAAAATTACATAAGATAGAGCAGACAACGAACAAGAGAATAAATAGAAGTATTGCATATTGAGTTGTCTTTTGACAAAACATTTTGGGGAAAATGAACACAAAAAGAACTTACATGAGCTCAGAGCCGTCTTCAGAGATATAGTAATCGCAAGGGTCCTTAGTCTTGTCGGTAAAATGTTCTGTGCTTAAATTTTCTGGCTTTTTATTGAATGAGGGCACTGCCTCCAGAGACAACCGAACCCGGTTTGAATCCCTTCTGAAATATTTTTCATCAAAGTGATCACTGCACACTTTTAAATTTCTATGCATATAATGGACTCCCTTTCTATCAAGATCGCCCTGTCTGTTAAGAACTTGGGCCCACAATACGGCTCTGAAAAAAATAGGCTTTTTTAAACATTTGTTTAATCAAAATTTCACCTGCAAGTAAAGGAGCAAATAAAACGTACAGAATAGCAGATTAACTCTTAAAGTTAGAAACATACCTGCTAAAATGTTTAGAATTTACCTGCTACATATTATACTTAATGTTTCAAAATCAGACAGACTGTCAAAACTGAAAACCCAAGCGATGTGATTTGTAACTCGTTTTTGGGTTGTTACTGAGCAGAAAAGCTATCCTACAATACTGAAATGATTGCAGATGCACAAACAACTGTTACAACAAAACTCGGTCAAGAAATTTCTTCAGCACTCTATTTTGTAGCACTGGAATGGAGATATTAAAATGCAGGATGTAAGTAAGTAACAATTGTTGGAGTTTGGTGATACTTCGTAAAAATTATGATGTCTATCACATACGGTAAAAGTTTCTGCTGAGTTTGCATCATGAAAAGTTGAAAATAGGCTCTTCTCGATACCTAAGAGCCTTCTTTAAAATGGAGATGTTCGTCAGCTGCGATACAAACAAGTTGACTCTCATCAGTGGGACGTGACTAATAATAGTCACGTCCCATTGGTGAGATTTGTAAAATTCATTTTTCTGCATTTGTGAAATGCATTTTTCTGCATTTGTGAAATGCATTTTTCTGCATTTGTGAAATGCATTTTTCTGCATTTGTGAAATGCATTTTTCTGCATTTGTAAAATGCAATGCAAACGCTACAGGCAACAAGTGCTGAAATCGAAAAATTTCAACTTCAGCACACTACATAACTTATCAGTCCTGTCACATGAGCTGCCCACAGTCTTTCATGAAGCTTCTCTGCGTCAAAAGCATTGACGAGTAGGTTTCCCTTGTGGTAGTCCTATACGCATCCAAGTAAAACATCACAACTGATGCACGACAATGCATCTATTAGAAACAAGGCTTGATAATTAGACCGCGTTTAAAAGAAAGGAACCAAGCCACATCAGCTATTTCCAAATTTAGCTGGACAGTTAAATTTGTTACGAGACAGCTTTTGTGCGGATTCCTGTGAAAATTTTAGGGAATTTGCTTCGTGCTGAGGAGAAAATTCACTGAAATTTGCACTAAACTTCGCACAACAGTTTTCATGTATAAAATTAAATTTGGCAATCACTGATGTGGCTTGGTTCCTTTCTGCTTAACGCAGTCCAATTAAAAGGCAAAAGTAAGTTTATTTGCGTCATAAACTCCCATAACAGTTAAAAAATGTAGTGTTGTGAAAATAACGACGAACAGCAACATCTATGATACATTCCATTATATTGTTGTAGAGCAAAATCTACCTTGACAGGTTAAATGATTTGACCACTAAGCAAATTTTCATTCGTCAACTGTTGACGAAATCCGTAAACAGTTTACTGAATATGTCATCAAAACAAATTTTCGTTCTCTGGATGTGATTAAATGGGCTTGGCCTAGCTTTTCCCAGCAAAACGTCCCTAATTAAATGTAATTTAGTTTTCATCAACAGCTTCCAGTTTCGTAAACATTTTTCGGACCACGTTGTCGAACCTGTTGACAATTCTGGTTGAGAGAGTGAAACCAGTCCAGTCAGGACAGGTCACTAGGCTCTGATTGGTTGAGAGAAATACCAACTTTGTTTGCACGCAGGACAACTATTTACGACCTTTTTGTCAACAGTTGACAAACGAAAATTTGCTTATAAGACGCGTTGTTAAAGTCCACAACTGCCCAACGAAAATTACCCGTTGAGTGTTGAGCTCAACGAAAGCGTTGGTAAATTCCGGTGGATTTACCCGTTTTCCAAGATGGCTGCTCAGCAAACTGCCCAACAGCTCAGCGAGGTTTCTGGCTGCTGCGGACTGCTGCCGAGTTCACTGGATTGTTATTCCGCCATTTTTTTCTCACTTTAACCTCACATCACGCAACACACTTTGCCGGTCGCCAGTCAGTCTAGGGAGAATTGCTTGTTTTGTTTGTTCTTTCCTCTTCCTCCACGAGTTCCGTTGTGCTCTGCTCTTTTTCTTTTTATGAAGATGTGGGTCCTCATTCGATTGAATGTCATTACTTTAAAAGTGGAACTGCCAGAGCAGTTTCCATGAGCATATTGTCCTCTTCTTCGTCAATCATGTCAAACACTAAAATAATGCTTCACAGAAGATTGAGAAGATTCTTTCGAACGAAAAAAGCTTTGACTTTATCACCGGGCACATATGTCAAAAATTTCATTATCAATTTCACAACATCAACATAACCTCCAAATCATCTCAATCCAACGGGAATTTAACAACGGCACCAAGATTTTCTTCCGTCCGTTGAGCTGACGTCGTCGTTGAGATGACGTCAATCCTGCGGAGAGTCAGCCATTTTCGTTGGGCAGCAAATGTAATTTAACAACGCACCTATAGTTTCCTGACTGTTGAGTTATGGGAGTTCACAAGCAACGTATATGACAGCATTCAATCCTACATTGAAGATACTCAAAGCAATTTTGATAGTCAGATTGAAACTTTTCAAAATTATAAACCTCTTATGACTAACCTTTCATAATCTTTCGGAAATCGGAAAAAGGACTTGTAAGGATGTCTAACGCTGTTGTTGCTACAACAGGAGGCAGCACACCACGCAGCACCCCGTAAGGTCTTATGTTTCAATGGTCTTAGGGCCATTATGAAAAGATGTATGCATTTATCTTACTTGCAGTTATAGTTCCAACTTCGCACTTAGGTGATGGAGTATGGAGTGATTTCAAGAGGCTGAAAGATACTTTTAGAGAACTGGGACTGGCGGAGAAGAAAAGTGGCAGGATTGTTATTGTTTTGAAACTTCCTTATTCTTCTTCCTACACTGTTAGGTATTACCATCATGACAAATAAAGCACCATGTTCCATGTTTCACGTTTCTGGTTGGGGTTGCTCTGAAGTGCTTGCAAAGTATCTTAGATTTTCAACCTAAGTTATTTCTCCTTCTGAGACTTGTGTAAAAATGATTAGAGAATCATTAAGCATGTATATGTTATATAGGGGCAGGGAGATATTTAGAGGGTCAGGTTAGGCAGGGTAAGTTATGTTTTGCTGTTTTGGTTTTATGAAGTGACGTCATTTCGCAGCGTAAACAATATCATAACCTTTAAATTTCATGTAGCATTGCTCATTGCTCTTATCAGCACATGGATTTTTTTGTTTTCGGCGAGACAGACAGTGCAGTTTGTCAGTGGTTTCCATTTATTTTTCGTTCGAGCTCTGTTACATCCACGATGTCATAGTTCCAGTTCCCTTTGATAACTGTTCAAAAGAATTCGTAATTTGATTGAAGAAACGGAGAAAAATGTAGGTTGGTCGGAAACTCAGTCAGTGTCCTAGCTTACCTGGTCTTTAGTCAGAATATAATTTTTTCATCACTTCATCGAAATTAGTATGTTGCCTGTCATCTGTGATCAAAGCTCATTTTCTATTTCACCCTATAATTTCCCGTGAAATCATTTCTTCTCTTCAAAGTGCACTTCTGTAAGTTCGCAGTTATGAGTTTTTCTCAGTTAAAAGAAACCATCGAAGAAGGGGACACCGTTATTCTCTACTTAAACCCTCTAAATCTACACTCAATCGAAGTCAAACCTGAAATCCCAAACAAACATGATGAACTTGTTGACAACGTTTTTCAAACGAAATATGGAGCTTTAAAGATAAAAGGTCTAATTGGTCAAAAGTTTGGTTCCAAAGTTAGTTTGTCGAAAGGATGGGCATATGTATTGCATCCAACTCCTGAATTGTGGACATTGACCTTACCACATCGAACTCAAATCATTTACAGTGCAGACATCAGCATGATAATATTTCAATTGGATTTGAAACCAGGTTGCATCGTCATTGAGTCAGGTAATTACAATTATTTCATATGATTTTTCTCCCTTTATTTTTTGGATCTACGGCAATGAAAATATCTGGCTGCAGCAAATGATCACTTGCTCCCAGAAACGTATCTTCCCTGTTCGCCCCCACCTTCCGTAGCGCCTCTATGAGGTCATCCTGCGTCAATTCAAGATAGTCTAGAACCTTGACCTCTCCAACTTTGTAAATACTTTTGTAGGTATGGGTGAATTCTCTGTATGCAAGAATGTGAAATGAAAGAAAATATCAAAGAATCTTGAGTCTTTTGAGCAACCACCTCTGGCGAGACATTAAGTAAGGGGTATAAAAATAGAAATTGTAGTAATATTTATATTGAGGAGGCAATAACAGAAGCCTAAGAGTGATGTGCACAAAATTTTTTAATCTTTTTCCTTGCTATCTCAAATCAATTAAAAATCACTTAGTCTTTCAACATGACATTGAGTGCCATTTTCGAGAACCAAGGCACAAATAATTTTTTTATTCCCTTTAGTTTAATGCTAAAGCTATAGATATTATGTGTCCTTACAGCTGTGTTTGACTTTGTTCTGAAATTGTTACTTTGAATTTCAACAATAAATGATCAATTGTCAAATTAACATCAATTAATTAATTATTTTATTGTTATTTTTTTATCTCTTGTCAGCAATTAGCCGTTCAACATTGAAAACTGAATTGAACGTATTTCTACAATAACAGAACTATGTGCAGGTGGATAAGATGGGGTGTGCTCGTGGGGGGGCCTGTGCTTCTTATGGGCCATAAGAATGAATGGGAAATATAAAGCGCCAGTGATGGAGCCGCTGCCGCGCTCACTCATTAACTCATGAGCCCTGTCCACAACGCTCTAGACACGAACCCACGGCTCATGCATTTTGCACATAGTTCCGTTCGACAGAACATGAAATCCCACTTCTCCAATTCAGTAAATGGAACTGTGAGCCAACTAAGTGCGGAACTCATGAGCTGTCGGTATATGTCTAGAGAGTTGTGGCAAGGGATCATGAGTTAACAAGGGAGCGCGGCGGGGGCTCCGTCACTGGCGCTTTATATTTCCTATTCATTCATATGGCCTGAGCACTAATAAGCACACCCCATCTTTTCCACCTGCAAGTAGCTCTGTTTGATAGAAATATGTCCAATTAGCAATTGGTTCAGCTCGTGTTCAACTCATCTTATCTTAATGCGCTATTGTGATGCTACCATCAAGTGTAGGTTTTAACTCGGCATTCCTCCCTTTTATTTCAGGAACAGGAAGTGGCTCCTTAACACATGCATTGGCTCGCACAGTCTCGCCCAATGGTACGGTGCATACTTTTGATTTCCATAAACAACGAGCAGCCATAGCCGAGGCAGAATTTGCTGGTCACAAAATTGATTCTGTTGTTAAATCCTATCATAGAGACGTTTGTCAGTTGGGGTTCGGACCTGATTTGGATTCTCTTGCAGATGCAGTATTTTTAGATTTGCCTCTTCCTTGGACAGTAGTGCCTCATGCTGTGAAAGTGATCAAAAAGTCAGGTAAGAAATTTTCTCCCTTCCTTAATTTCCCCTATTGTTTTTATTCGCTGAAACAGAAATCTTGATTGTCCAGCTACATGTGATGAATGGCCAGTTTGGATCATGAAAAATCTTGATTGCTCAGAAAGTTGCTGTTACTGTTCGCTGACGTTTCATCTACCTTAAATTTTCATTTCCCTCTCAAAGTCATTAGAATAAAGCTCTAGTGATGGAACACCATTACAGTCACTTTCTCTCTCAATTATTCTTTTTCTTATTCATGACCCTGTGATTAAAATAACAAGTCAATTGATGGAAATCAGTGACTGGTAAATTTGCATGAAAAAACTGAAGGGCATTGAGTCATATAGTATGATGTCTGGACAGTGGCGTAACAGACTTCCGCTGGGCCCTCCTGCAAAATTTTTTCTAGGGCCCCCCCCCCCCATGTCAATAAAATTCCAAAATCATCCCCCCTCCCGCCCCTCTACTTCCCTCAGCCCGAGAAATTTCAAATCACGGACTTGGACTTGGAATGCCTCTCCCCTCACTGTCCCGGATCCCGTACCCGATTAAATGGGGCCCCTAAAGGATCGAGGATCTAAAGGGTGGGGGGGCAGCCCAGGCCTAAGGATCTACAAAAGGGCCCATGCAGGCCCAAGAATCCAAGGGCCTTGTGGGCCTTTTAGATTCATGCGTCACCCTAAGCCCAAAATACCTACGAAAAGTGACAAAAAAGAGAAAAATTTTAGTAATCACTGAGTGGACATTGGAAGGCAGGGGCCCTTCAGCAAAAAAAAAGTTAGGAACAGTCCAAAAGAAGTATGAAAAACCCTGAGCTAACAATAAAAATCTGCGGAAGAAGCCCCATCTCGGTAAGTAAAGGCCCAAAGTTTGAAACCAAAGCTAAGCATCAAAGAGACAGAGAAAAACAAAATTTCAGCGGCCGAGGGCCCGGAGGGCCCCCTAGGCGTTTGGGCCCCCCTGCATAGCAGGGTCTGCGGGGGCACCCGTTCCGCCACTGTGTCTGGATAATTATTGAGGTATTAGGTACAGTTATTAGGTACTGCAACATAGGTATTATAGTTTATTACCATTCATGTACGTATTTGACAGACTACTTCAGCTATTTCTCATGATAATTTTTGAAAATTTGTTTTACTTATTTATTTTTCGTGGTACCACGGCTACTTTGTAAACAAGTATTTTTGAAGATGAGTTCACATCTTACAATTTTCTCTCTCTCCCAAACTTGAGTCATAACAAAATTCTGAACTATCATCCAACAATTCCAGTCTGAATCTTTCGTTTGAAAAACTTATGTATTTCGTGTCTCAAAAACTTTGCATTAAATTCAGGATAAATATTACCTAATTAAAATGATCGAGCTTGCTACCCAATATAAATTACTTATTTAAAAATAATTTTGAAAATAATTACGTTTTGAGGAGAGACATAAAAATCGTTACTTCTCCGTTTTATTCACCCAAGTAACAATTTTTCAACGCAGAAAATCGCAATAAAGTCTCGACATGTTGCGGCATAATCGGTATAATATTCCGATATTTCTTCGATGAAGTTGCAATATTCAGACAATTTATGGACGATTTCCCGCGATTTCAGACGATTAATTGCGAAATGCAGCGCGGTGAAATTCCGATATCATCGCGAGGTTTTGCAGAAAAAACACCGGGTTAAGTCTCTTTGCGGCACCTATCCCAAATTCGCCGAAAAAGCGGTTTTTTGAGATGTTACAAAATTTTACAGAAACTGCGAATTTTTACGACGTTGCAAAATTTTAAAACGTTAGCAGATTTTCAGCAAACATGCGATTATTTCGGCTATACTGCTAATATTCAGAAAAACGGCTTTTCACAATTTTGCAAAATGTCAAAATTGCGAATTTTGACTGTGTTACAAAACAACTACAACTTCCAGTGACATTTCAGCACCAACACTGCTTTTTTGGGGAGAAGTGGTTTTCTCAGAAGAGATTTTGAAAGATGTCTCAGGTGATTTCTGAGGACCATTACAATGAAAAAGTGCACCCGTTGTAACTCGCATGAAGATGCCACTGCTTTGTGCAGTTTTTGGATTATAGCCACGAATGGAAGGGATAGAACGGTGTTCAATTTTATCCAAGTGCTTCCTGCTGTGACACTCGGTCTCCACTGATTCACCAGATAGTTGCGTCACTATTTCATCATCAGAATCTTCTTCTGAACTCGCGTGTTTTTGCGTGTTTTTCCTTTATTTTTCTTTCGAACCTCCTCTTTACTTGAGCTTCTATTAGACGAACGAATGTACTGCGATGTTTTTTTCTTAGCAGCTCTCTTCCTTTAAGCTTTCTCTCAGATCCACAGGCAAAGCTAGGTCATTTTCCTGGGGGGGGGGGGGG